TAGTTCTTCCTGTGTTTCCTTATATGGTCTTTTTCCTGTTCTTGTTTAGTTTGATTGCTTTATGATTCCTTGCACCTGTGTTTAGTTCCTTATCATCCTGTGTATATAAGTTCCTGGTTGCTCTGTGTTCCTTTGTCGGATCTACTCGTTAGTTACGTGTGTTTGTGCTTTTCCTATGTTGGATTATTCCCCTGCGTTTTCATCATTAAAGACAGTTAAAGTTTATTCATGCCTCCCACGTGCTTCCAGCAAGACACACCGTGACAGAAGATCCGACCAAACAAGATGACTGCAGCTGAAGACAGGCTTTGGTGTCTGCGGCAGGGTGGTCGGGAGTTGGAGAGGTATGTAGAGAAGTTCCTAGAGCTCTCCAACCAGGTGATCTGGTTCGACGCCGCTCTGTGTCTGTTTTCGGCTGGGGCTGGATGATGACGTAATCGGCTGCGATCTTTCCACATACAGTTTTCCCCTGATCGATTTGGTTAATCATGTCCTTTATTTAAATGGTGTAAGTCTCAAAGTAGAAGAGGTTCAGAGCGATCATCATCCATTCCCTCCCGAGAAGCACCGGGCCTCGCCAGCTCACCCCTCGCCAGGACCCTCCACATACCCGGCCAAATGTTGCGACCACCCATCTCCTCCCAGCACCGTCTCTGTCCTCAGCCTAGAAACGCCGGCCACGCCGTTGTCAAGCCCGCCCGCCGCCGCTCCCACAAGCCTGCTGGCCGCTCCTGAGTCAAGTTCGCCGGCTGCTCCGAAGTCAAGCCCTCAGCCGACAGCAACTGCCTACCTCACCACAAATCAAAAGAGGAACCTGAAGAGGAAAAGGCTGTCGGCTCCAGCCCCAGAGCTCGCTCCCGTGTGGGCTCCTGTTCCCGAGTTTAGCCCACGGAGGGCTCCACATCCCGAATCCAGCCAGAGGGCTCCAGTCCCCGAGTTAAGCCTAGAGAGGGTTCTAGTCCCCGAGTTTAGCCCAGAGAGGGCTTCAGTCCCCGAATTTAGCCCAGAGAGGGTTCCAGTCCCCGAGTTTAGCCCAGAGAGGGCTCCAGGCCCCGAGTTAAGCCCAGAGAGGGTTCTAGTCCCCGAGTTTAGCCCAGAGAGGGCTACAGTCCCCGAGTTTAGCCCAGAGAGGGTTCTAGTCCCCGAGTTTAGCCCAGAGAGGGCTACAGTCCCCGAGTTTAGCCCAGAGAGGGTTCTAGTCCCCGAGTTTAGCTCAGAGAGGGTTCCAGTCCCCGAGTTTAGCCCAGAGAGGGTTCTAGTCCCCGAGTTTAGCTCAGAGAGGGTTCCAGTCCCCGAGTTTAGCCCAGAGAGGGTTCTAGTCCCTATGTCCAGCCCAAGAAGGGCTCCAGTCCCCGAATCCCGCCCAGGGAGGGCTCCTGCTCCAATGCCTGGCCCATGGAGGGCCTCTAGAGCCGGGATTTTCCCCAAGTATTTTTTAGGGGGGAGGCTATATGGCTCCGGTCGGAGGGGCCGGGCCGTTAGCCAAGGCCCTGGAGGCTGCTCCGCTATGGCCTCCCGAGTCCCCTGATCCGCCATGGCCCCCTGATCTGCCCTGGAGGCCTCCCGTGTCTCCGTCCTGTACCAGCCTCCAGGGCGCACACCCCCACACACACAATTGTTATGGCATGGGACGCGCCTTCCAGGAGGGGGGGAGTAATGTCAGTGTTGTGGACTTGTGTTTCCTTGTTTTACCCCGTCTTAGTTCCTGTTTCCTGTTCCTGTCCTCATTTTGTTTATTTGGTTCCAGCTGTGTTTTCCCTCATGTCATCATGTTCATTATTTCCAGGTGTTCCCTCATTAGTTTCCTTGTCTACTTAAGCCCTGTGTTGTGTTTCCTTATATGGTATTTTTCCTGTTCTTGTTTAGTTTGATTGCTTTATGATTCATTGCACCTGTGTTGAGTTCCTTATCAAGTCAAGTCTGCTTTATTGTCAATTCTTCCACATGTACAGCACATACACACAGAGAATTGAAATTGCATTACTCTCAGACCCTTGGTGCATACAGATAACACTAACGGTAGAACATAAATACAGATACAGATTAAATATAAAATACAACTATACAAATATACAAATAAGGTAAAATGTAAAAAAAACATATAAAAAAATACATAAAGCAGCACAAGGCACATGGCAGATAGAGTGCAAACCAGTGAAGTAAACAACAGTGCAGATATAATGATTTGTAGTGCAAAAGAGCTTATTCAGACTGATTAAAGTGACAGTGTGTGTGTGTATTTGGGAGGGGGGAGTGGGAGAGTCCGGGTTAGTCGCTAGCCTAGCCCAGATACCTCCGCGCTTGCTCCTCTTCTGCTTCCTCTCGCGCCGCTTGTGGCGCCTCCGCTGTGGGCGAGATGCAGTAGTGGGGGTCGGTGATGGTGTGGGCCTCCGGAGCAGACCGAGGTCCCGCAGCTCTTCGGCGTGCGCAGAGTTTAACTCTAAAAATGTGGTTCTGCCGACATCGAGCAGAAACTCACGACTGTATGCGCGCTTAGAGACAGATAGACGCGACGAATACGTACAAAAACACTGCGACTCACAAGACAAAAAACACGAAAACGCCTTTCTGTCGGGAGAGAGAGAAGCCGCAGCGTGTGAACGCGCCGCCATCTTAGTTTAAAGATTAGTTATTATCCTGTGTATATAAGTTCCTGTTTGCTCTGTGTTCCTTTGTCGGATCTACTCATTAGTCACGTGTGTTTGTGACAGTTAAAGTTTATTCATGCCTCCCACGTGCTTCTAGCAAGACACACCGTGACAGATACATATTGTTACGTTATAATTGTATATAAAATGCATTTTAGTTTACATTTTAATTGTGTTTTTTAGCACTTTAATTTAGAGTTAGACTATTGTAATACATTAACAATAATGAAACAAATAGCTACTGAGGAGGAAAAATAATTATTAATTAACAAATAATAATTTAACAAACAATTATGTTTTATATTTTTACTTTTTATATTATACTATTATAATATGTATTATGATATTATAATATGGAATATTAGATTAATATGCAATATTATACATTTACATAACATACATTTCTGTTTACATCTTGATTTTGTGTTTTTTGCATTTTAATTTAGAGTGTGACTGTTTCAATATATTAAGATTTTATTAATTTAATAAAAATGATTTCCCCCTTGATTTCAAGAACTCTGTGTTATTCAATTAGAAACAACAGTTATTGAGGGAAAAAATAAGTTTTTTTTAAATTTGTTAATTATTATTCATTATTTTTGGTTTTTATTTTAATATAATGCATATCGTAATAATATATATGGACTAAATTTCAGTTCACATGTTTTTTTTTTCTTTCGAATTTATAGTTTGAATGTTTTTGAGGCGTCCCGGGTGAGAATCCTGAAACACACGGCGGTTCCTCGGATACCTGCGCAGAGCTACAGGACGTCCTGCTGCGTCTCCATGACAACAGCAGAGCGACACAGCAAGCGGCAGGCAGTGATTGGCTGCTGTGGAGGGGCGTGTCTGCGGTGGATTTTGGTTAATCAGGGTTATTTTCAGCAGCGCGTGCGGTTTCTGCTCCTCCACTGCATCCTGTAGGAACGTAAATATTCCTGAAACAGCATCAAAACTCCTCCTGCTCGTCTTTCTCCTCACGTTTCCTCCTCTGTGCTTACCGAGTGTTACACTCACTCACACACACACACACACACACATACACTCGACCGGCTTGTGTCATGGGGGATGCTGGGAATTAAAACACTCTCAAACACCACAGAAACTGAAGGCACACAGGATCATTTACAGTTCATTTAGGAAACCGTCTACTGTAAAGAAGAGAGAAAGTGTGTCAGGATTATTACTGTACACTACAGTTAACAAACCTAAAGTTAGTATGTTAAAAAAATAAATGTTATCAATTGTACTATAATAAAATATTAATAATAAATAAAATAATTATAAAATTATAAATAAAGTAAATGTAAAATATATGTAAGATCAAAATTGAAAATGCATATATATATTTTAAGAAACCTAACAATGACCTAATGTAATTGTAATATAATAACATATATCATAATATAATAAGTTATAAGTTATAATATAGTAAACATAAATAATAAATGTATAATCAAGGACAAACAGTTTGAACAATGGATGAATAGATAATATACAATTACAAATAAAAAATATGAAAATATATTTTAAGACACCTAAAAATAGTTGAAAAAGTAATCCAACAAAATAAATTAAATAAAAATGAATGTCATAAATAGTAATATAATTATAAATAAACATATAATTTTAATTAAAATAAATGTAAAACATTAAAACTTTCAAAAAAACCTAGAAATGGCAAAAAGATAGCTTTAAATAAATAAAATATGTGATAAATTATAGCATAAAATATTTCATTATTATAAAGAATTATTACAAATATATTAAAATGATTTTATGAAACAAAATTTGTTAAAATAATGTTTTTAAATAAATAAAACTAATGTAATAAATTGTCTTATAAAACGGTTAGTTCTATTCCTGGATTCTGACTGGTCAGCAGCTGAGTTTTATTCACGATACAGCACGGCTATAACCACTTCACCCAACGGTTCTGTGTATCACTGAGCAACACCCTTAGCAACATAAACAATCAATAATATAGCATCAAGACTGTTTCATTTATTATGTATTTCGGCAGAATTAACTGTTTGTTATTTATTTAATGAAGTATGAGTGAGTGAGAATCTTTCATCTTTAAAGTCCCCATGAAATCAAAATTAAAGTTTTTTGGGTGTTAGTATCAATATGTTAGTCTTAAGGCCCGTTCACACCAAGGACGATAACTATAAAGATAACGATAAAGATATAGTTCTCAATCGTTCTCAATTTTCCAGCTGATGAACGATAAAAAATTGACAGCCAATCAGAATCCATCCTGCTGTAACGGGCTCGAGAATTTAAAGCGGCAGACGAGCGTGCGCTTAGAATAAACAGACGGTATCGTTCGCTGGTGTGGCCGCTAATATCGTTATCTTTATAGTTATCTTTATAGTTATCGTTCTTGGTGTGAACGGGGCTTTAAGGTTATCTATAAGGCAGTGTGCTCCAAAACAGTGACAAAATTCGCATTTAGAAGATTTAAGCATTCAAAGCTTTTAGTTCGTCACTTCCACCAAAACGGCTCAACGATTTTTTTTGACATCACATCATATTCTCATCAAATCTTCTGACCAATCAAACGCTCTCTAGAAGCCGAAGCGCCCGCCCCCTACACTATAAATAGACGCTGAAGCGGCTGAGATCGGTCACTTGTTCACAGTGTAGTATTTCCTGTACAGTGAATGGCACGTAGTGTACAATGTAGGTGATAGGGAACGATTCAGACAGTGTAAATATGCTTTCGATTGGGGCAAATGAGGTCTGGTTTCACGTTGTTTCACGCGAACCGTGGCAGCGCACACAGTCTGATCCGGACTTTGGCTCCGGTCCAGAGACGCGATCGCATGGAGCGGATCATATGTGCGAATCAGCATATATTAAAACCCTCATCTGTTCCTCGGTCATTTTGACCCAAAAAGTTTTTTCAAAAAAATTCTAAAAATCGTGTGTTGATCGTACCGGTCCAAGATTTCTTTACTTTTGTCACACTTGCACCGAGAATAAAACAAAAAAGATTTGAGTGGATTCAAGGAGTTTAAATGGGTGTATTAAAAAAAGTAACAAAAGTGTCCCTCGCGGGTCATTTTGACCCGCATAGGAATAAATTGAATTTACGAGAAAACTGCATTTTTCATTACATTAGATTTTTTTTTATATAAAAAATCTGAGAAAATCCAGTAAAGATTTATACCC